CTAATGGGTATTGATATATTAAAAACATCCCCAAAATGGCCCCCTGTAACTGTGGCAGAAGCTAAAAGAATAATTGCACAACAGACAGCTGGTAAAGCCCTGGGAGAGGACATGTTACCTCCAGAAATCTTGAAGGCATTTCCCGACTGGTGGGCCCCTATATTCGCCTCTTTGTTTACCTATATCAATGCCACTGGTCGATTACCTGTAGGTTGGAATAATAGTGTAGTAATCCCAATATATAAAAAGAGAGAGACTACAAATCCAGCTAATTTTCGACCTATAAGTCTTATTGACATAGGGTGCAAGCTATATACCAGATGATATAAAGATTTATATGAAAATACATTTTTATCTCCTATTTGTTAGAGAAAGTTAGGGGTTAGAAGGTAAAAGGGTAACCTATTGGAACTAGTTTAACACATATATGTTATTAGTATTGAAAGATTAATCTCCATAGGCATAAAAGATATGTTTTACTTGCTAGAGAAAGTTATAAGTCAGTTGAAAAATAGATTCAATTTGTTTAAGTTTAAAACATATAGGTTATTATTTCTGGTACTCTTAATACCTTTGTTGAATAAAACTGTTCAATGGAATTTTTTTATACTTAGCTTATTGTTTAGTGATGAGAAATGGGAAGACGAGTTTTTTTTTTTTTTGTAATATTAGTGGTGGTGATAAATTATTGTAAATGTTTATACTTGCTGGAGGGGAGTCACTTATATGTCTTTTTCTCTCTCATTCTCTTTCTTTTTCATTTGTATATCTTTGCTAATTCTGTATTGGCTTTTAACTATGTAAATCTGAAAGAGAGAGAGAGAGAGAGAGAGAGAGAGAAACCAACCAACCAACCAACCAACCAACCGTGAGTTCTAGTCCCGCCTTAGATCCAAAGCCAGCTGGGTGACCTTGGGCCAGTCAATCTCTCAGCCTAGGAAGGAGATAATGGCAAACCACTTCTGAAATCTTGCCAAGAAAACTGCAGGGCCTTGTCCTGGCAGTTGCCAGGAGTCAAGACTGACTCAAAGGCGGGGAGGCCTTAACACTTATTACTAAACATGTGCTATATTATACTATACTTATACTAATGTCTCTGTGTATTTCTTATTCCTAAACAGTCTAGTCTTCTTTGTTGCTTGAGCTTATACCAGTGTCTTTAGCCGCCACTGGCTTCTGTTGCTGTCAGCTGCTGTTCTGAACTGCTGCCGAAGCTTTGCCTTGGTCATTTCTCGTCTGTGCTGGGGTGGGGAACGGAAGGGGCCTTACCAGCTGCTGGCTGGCTGTAGCTTCCCAGCATTTGTGCTGGGGTGGTGAAGCTGCTGGGCTCTGCTTCTCCGTTCAGCTTGTCTGCTGCAGTCCAAGGCTACTCCTCCATCACCATCCGCTGTCTGTTGAGTTAATGGCTGCTCCATTCCCACAGCTCCACATTCTTCCTCTCTGCTCTCCCACACAACACAAATCTTCCTCTGCGCACCCACACTCTGGTGCTCCCAGCATTTTCCTTTCACATTGGAAACCAGGTGTGGTGCAACGCTCTTCGGGCTGCCTTAAAGTCCCAGGGGAGAAAACAAAGGGAAGGAAAAGCTCATGCTGGCCACTGCAAGGCTTTCCTTCCATAAAGTAGTTTGAAAAACTGAAGCTTAAACTATTTATTTATTTTTCAAATTTGTATGCCGCCCATCTCCCCCAATGGGTGACTCTGGGCGGCTCACAATAATAATAAAAACTATGCTACCTGTTGGCAAGCTTAAACTATTTATTTATTTTTCAAATTTGTATGCCGCCCATCTCCCCCAATGGGTGACTCTGGGCGGCTCACAATAATAATAAAAACTATGCTACCTGTTGGCAAGCTTAAACTATTTATTTATTTTTCAAATTTGTATGCCGCCCATCTCCCCCAATGGGTGACTCTGGGCGGCTCACAATAATAATAAAAACTATGCTACCTGTTGGCAGATTCACATAGCCCATTGTTGCCCAAACTTGGCCACTTTAAGATGAATGGACTTCAACTCCCAGAATTCCCCAGCCAGCCATGCTGGCTGGGGAATTCTGGAAGCTGAAGTCCACTCATCTTAAAGTGGCCAAGTTTGGACAACACTGACATAGCCATTCCTGAATGTGGATCCCTTCTGATGCTGGAATTTCTGTTTGCTGGAACACTTAAGAATGACCGTGAATGCATGTTTGTACTATTCCTCCAGTATGTTTTTGCAAAATTCCTACCGAATGCCCAA